TATATGAAAGATTTATGAAAGAAAAAATTGGCAATGAAGTTCACAAAAATTAAAAACTGGTAAATAATGAAAAGAAGATAAGCAAGCACTGATGAGTTTGAGGGAAAAAGCAACACAATCTTTTCTTTTTTACAGTCCTGGGGAATGAACCCAGAATCTTATTCATGCTAGGAAGTGCTGTATCACTGCTACATCTCCACTCCTAAGCTGGAACTTTTATACACTGAGGGTGAGCTTATAAATTGTAAAAGTGCTTATTAAGTTAAACATTGCTTATTAAGTTAAATATACATATCTAGATATATCTACATCTATCTATATATATCTAATACCTGTCCATTCTACTCTTAGGTACCTACCCAAGAAAAATTAAAGCAACTGTTACATAAAGATTTCTGTATGAAAATGAACCTACAGACCTATAGCCATCTAATCTTCGATAAGGGAGCTAAAACAATAGAATGGAAGAAAGACAGCCTCTTCAGTAAATGGTGCTGGCAAAATTGGTTAACTACATGTAGAAAACTAAAGCTAGATCCTTATATATCACCCTGCACCAGAATCAACTCCAAATGGATCAAAGACCTTGAAGTCAAAGCAGACACTCTGAAAACATTACAGGATGGAATAGGAGAAACCCTAGGTCTCCTTGGCTCAGGCCGAAATTTTCTGAATAGAGACCCGGAAACACAACAAATCAAAGAAAGGTTGGACAAATGGGATTGCATAAAGTTGCAGAGCTTCTGCAGGGCAAATGACATAGCTAGCAAGATCAATAGAAAGCCCACGGATTGGGAGAAGATCTTTACTAGCCATACAACGGACAAGGGTCTCATATCTAAAATATACTTGGAACTCAAAAAATTAAACCCCCCAACAACAAATCCTCAAAGAAACAACTGCCCAATAAATAAGTGGGCGAAAGACTTAAAGAGAAACTTCTCTGAAGAAGAAAGAAGGATGGCCAATAGACACATGAAGAAATGTTCAACATCCCTAGCCATAAAAGAAATGCAAATCAAAACAACATTGAGATATCACCTCACTAGAACGGCAAAAATCAAGAACTCTAACAACAACAGATGCTGGAGGGGATGTGGACAGAAAGGAACCTTACTTCATTGTTGGTGGGAATGTAAACTTGTTCAACCACTTTGGAAAGCAGTATGGAGGTTCCTCAAAAGACTTCACATAGAACTCCCCTATGACCCAGCAATCCCACTTTTGGGCATTTACCCAAATGTTTACAAACAAGACCACACTAAAGCTACCAGCACAACTATGTTTATTGCAGCATTATTTACCATAGCTAAATATGGAACCAACCCAGATGCCCCTCAGTAGATGAATGGATCAAGAAAATGTGGTATATATACACAATGGAATTCTATGCCTCCATCAGAAAGAATGACATTGCCCCATTTGTTAGGAAATGGAAAAACTTGGAAAAAATTATATTAAGTGAAGTAAGCCAGGCCCAAAGAAACATAGGTCCCATGGTTTCCCTTATTTGCAATATCTAGTATATGTATGAGTCAAGCGGAAAAGGTCAGATAATGTGATGTCAGAAAAATGAACCCTTAGATATGTATTTTAATGTTTTTTTCTTTCATGTATGTGTTTCTAACGCATTTATAAGATTATCTCTTTGTTGCTTTGTATGTCCCTCCCCCACAGTATAACCCCTGCTTTCACTATATTTGATGTCAGTATAACTTGTGGAGGAGATGGGGAAAAACCAGTTGTTTAAGGATACAGGTGGACCTGTTGCAACAATGAGAAGTACAAGTTGTCATGTCCAAAACGAGCTTTACAACGTCGGTTGGGGGGGGGGGAGGGGAGGGAGGATTGGGATTGGGGGGGAGGGGGGAGGCTCGTAAGGGATGTGAAGGGTAAACCAAAGGAAGAGGCTGCAATGCTTGGTAAGAAATGTACGCATTATCCTGCCCATGTAATTGTAACCCCTCTGTACAGTATGTTCACAAATAAAATGAAATTAAATTAAAAAAAAATAAAGATTTCTGTATGAAAGTTCATAACAGTTTTATTTACAGCAGCCTAAACCTGGAAACTTAATATTCACCATTAGATGAATGACTAAACAAATTACAGTGTATCTACACAATGGAATACTAGTCAGTACAGAGCTATTAATATAGGCAACAGTAGGGATGAGTTTTGAAGCAAATTATGCTGAGTAAAAGTGAAAAGTGAAATGGGGTTGCTATAGGTAAAAATTTATTGAGTAAATCAGACATTACTGTTTTCTTCTTACTTTAACATGAAGTTCATACTATAATATTAGTTTCCAGACTTGAGATAATTTGTTTTACAGTTATTCTACGTAATTGCCTATTCTACTTGTCAAGAGTGAATCCTAGATTTCATAAAGTAGATGCATTTAAACTGTGAGGCATTAAAGTCCTCTCTGTGTCTCTCTCCTCTCTTTCTCTTTTGTCCATCTTAAAGAGTTTAAACTCAGGGCTTGTACACTGTCCCTAAGCTTTTTTGCTCAAGGCTAGCACTAACATTTGAAACACAGCTGTATTTTTGGCTTTTTGGTTGTTAATTGGGAGAAGTCTCAGACTTTCTAGCCTGGGCTGACTTTGAATTGCAATTCTCAGATCTCAGCCTCCTGAGTAGCTAGGATTATAGGCATGAGCCATCAGTACCTGGCTCCTTATTAATTTAGTATTTATTTATTAATCGGTCATGGGGCTTGAACTCTGTCCCTGAGCTCTTCAGCTCAAGGCAAGTGCTCTACCATTGAGCCACAGAGCCACTTCTTGTTTTCTGGTGGTTAATTGTAGGTAGAATCTCATGGACTTTCCTGCCCAGGCTTGCTTGGAACCACAATCCTCAGATCTCAGCCTCCTCAGTAGTTAGAATTACAGGTGTGAGCCACTGGTGCCCAGCTTCATTATTTATTTTAAATTGATAAATAACATTAAATTTTCTTATCATCTTAAAAAAAGTTGCCCAACTTTTCTAAAAGAGTATTTCGGAGAGGGGGGAAAAGGGGGTGGGGAAGGGGGGGAGATGGGAAGGGATAGGAAGGGAAACAAAGGAGGAGGCAACAATGCTTGATAAGAAATGTACTTATTATCTTGCCCATGTAATTGTAACCCCTTGGTATGGTATTTTCACAATAAAAAAAAGATTAAAAAAAGAGTATTTCATGCCTGATTTTATTCATATGAAATTCTAGAAAATTATAGAGACTTAGAGAGACCAGGAGTTACCTGAGGACAAAAGGTGGTAGAAAGGGGTTTTAGAGGGACAAAGGGACCTTTTGAGAATAATGGTTATACTTGCTATATAGAATGTGAAGAATTCATGGAGATTTAATTGTTAAAACCTGAAGCTCAGGCCAGATGCCAGTGGCTCACGCCTATAATCCTAGCTACTCAGGAGGCTGAGATCTGAGGATCATGGTTCAAAGCCAGCAGGGGAGTCTTTGAGACTCTTTATCTCCAATAAACAACCAGAAAACCGCAAGTGGTGCTGTGGCTTAAGTGGTAGAGTGCTAGCCCTGAGCTGAAGAGCTAAGGGACAGAGCCCAAGCTCAGAGTCCAAGCCCCACAACTGACAAAAACAAACACAAACTTGAAGCTCTGAATATGCTACGTTATATGACTACCTTAATAAAACTTTTAGAGTGTCTTATCCAACTTCCAAAACGCACATTTTATTTGAGACCACAGTATTAGTTCAATTTTTAAAAATGTAATATGTGTTAACACCAGGCCAATCTTCACTTACAGGTATCAGCCTGAATGGCAATTGTTGCTTTCCCCTAAACCAATCTTTTTTGAGCTTAGTTGTTTTTTTTTTTTGTCGGTCATGGGGCTTGTCTGGGCTTGGGCACTGTCCCTGCACTCTTCAGCTCAAGGTGAGTGCTCTACGGCTTGAGCTATAGTGCCACTTTTGATTTTCTAGTGGTTTATTGAAGATAAGAGTCTCACAGACTTTCCTGCCTGGGCTGGCTTTGAACCTCGATCCTCAGATCTCAGCCTCCTGAATAGCTACGATTATAGGCGTGAGCCACTGGCACCTGGCTTTTGTTGTTGTTTTAAATTAGTATCTATGGTAGAAATTTCCCTGTTTCAGTGATGATTTTCTTCCAAACTGAGTTTTCCAACTACCTTTTCTATTTGTATTTATCACATCTAGATTTTCTATTTGCTGTGCTATGGTTTGGGCTATTGTCCTTGTTTTTTTTTTTTCCTCTAAGACCTATAAAGACCTGTTTGAACTAAGGTTGGAGAATACTTGCTTCTTTTCATTTCTCTATTAAAGTAATGAAAGGGAAAGGGAGGAAAGGGTAAGGAAAGGCGGGCAGAAATCCACTTTCCTGTAAGACAGAACATAGAACAGTTCTATCAGAGGATAAGTCCTTTGTAGTATAAGTCCTTGTAAAAATCATCTGGATAGCCCTGCATAATCCCAACTACTAAGGAAGCTGACATCTGAGGATCAAGGTTTGAAGCCAGTCCAGACAGTAAAGTCTATGAGATTCCTATCTCCAATTAACTACCAAAAACCCCCTAAAACTAAAACCAAACCACCACCACCACTGGAAGTGATGGGGCTGAAGTAGAGTGCTAGCCTTGAGCAAAAAAGCTCAAAGACAAGCACTTAGGCCAAGTTCAAGTTTCCCTACCAGCTTACACACATACAAACAAAAGTGATTATATCTTCATACAAAATATATCTTGGCTTTTACATGTCTTGGAAAAAAGTTAGCTAATAACTACAAGAAAAACTATAATATCTGTGTAGAGCATAAACAAAGTACGGACAATGGAACAAGTTTCTCAAGCCAACTCTCTATCACAAGAAGCCACAGAATTTCTTACTAATATAGACATAGTCCTCTAGGGATTTTGACTCTGTTGGTTTATATGAGTAACAGTGATTCCATTGTTCAAAAAACTAGGCCTATATTTCAAAGGGAAAAAACAGTCTAACAAAATAGTCTAAACAAAAGCAATACTTACCAGTACCGGAATTTCGAACCTAATGTAAAATAATGTGCAAAAAAATTCTTTTGAGGTGGAAGTGGTCTGTCCAAACGGAAGAATGTGTGATGTTCTACACATGCTTTCCACAAATTTTTGCATGCTCTGTAGTTCACCATATTAAATCCCAGTAATGTTTCTCTAGACTCGTGCTGTAATAAATGACAAAATACAGAGAATACCTCAGGATCTAAAGCTTTATTTTATTTACTTGGACAGAAAAATTAGCCTAGCTTTGAACACATTAATCCTCAGAATCTTTTTCTGCTTATCAACAACAATAAAAAATTGCCAAATAAATAAAAATATCGAAAATATGGACCAAATTCAGTAATTTCATAACTTCGAAAGAACTTCTCCCCTGGATGACAGAAATAAATTAATATATTCAAAATGTATTGTCTGTATTTCAAAATGTAATTCTTGTTCATAGATTAAATTTTGTAATAAGTTTATTAATTTGCAATTATGACTCGATTCTATACACATATGAAAATAAAAATATGCAACATTTCCACTTTAGGAAATTTGAAAATACGTATCACTATTAGCAGTTATTTTTAAAAAGTTTGGCCAAATCACTAACTACTGTCACTTAAGTACACCAAATATAGCAAAAGACCTGTCCTATGAGTAGGGAGCTCTGATTTTCACATACTAAGTGTAACCATTTACCCTCAATTCAGGTTAAGAAATGGGTCATTCTCTGTAGTGTCCTGTCTCCCTCCCTTTGCACCAAATCACTTCAAAAACTTTTTTTTTTTCTGGTAGTGGGGCTTGAACTCTGGGCATGGGCCCTGTTCCTCAGCTCTTCACCTCAAGGATAGCATGCTACCACTTGAGCTACAGTGCCACTTTTGGCTTTTTCTGCTTATGTAGTGCTGAGGAATCGAACCCAGGGCCTCATGCATGCAAGGCAAGCACTCTACCACTGAACTACCTTCCCAGCCCCTCTTTCTTTCTTTCTTCCTTTCTCTCTCTCTTTCTTTCTTTTTTAATTTTAATTTTTTATTTTGTCAGTCATAAGGCTTGAACTCTGGGCCTGGGCACTGTCCCTCAGTTCTTCAGCTCAAGGCTAGCACTCTACCACTTGAGCCACAGTGCCATTTCCGGTTTTCTGAGCGGTTTACTGGGGATAAGAGTCTCATGGATTTTTCTTGCCCTGGCTGCCTTTGAACTGTGATCCTCAGATCGTAGCCTCCTGAATAGGTAGGATTACAGGTGTGAGCCACCAGCGCCCGGCTTCAAAAACTTTCATGACCACAGATTAGTTACACTTGTTTTTGACCTGTATATATAATTGGAATTATATTCTGTCTTTAGGTCTGTTTTTTACTTATTGATTTATCCATTTTTGTGCCAGTATTGGGGCTTGAACGTGGCTCTTTCTAAGTCTGTCTTTTGTTCAACATTATGCTTCTGATGTACTAGAGTTGTGACACAATGATTCATTTCCTTCCTTCTGTCCTTCCTTCCTTCCTTCCTTCCTTCCTTCCTTCCTTCCTTCCTTCCTTCCTTTTCTTCCTCCTTTTTTGCCAGTCCTTGGGCTTGAACTCAGGGTCTGAGTGCTATTCCTGAGTTTTCTTTTGCTCAAGGCTAGTGTTCCAACACCTGAGCCATAGTGCCATTTCTGGCTTTTCCTCAGTAGCTTACTGGCAGTCATGGAAGTCAGGGGCTAGTGGCTAACACCTGTAACCCTAGCTACTTAGGAGACTGAGATATGAGGATCACAGTTCAAAGCCAGCCCAGGCAGGCTTATCTCCAATTAACCACCAGAAAACTGCAAGTGGTACTGTGGCTCTAAGTGGTACAGTGCTAGCCTTGAGTAAAAAGAGCCTACGGACAGTGCACTGGCCCCAAGTTCAAACTCTACAACTGACAGAAAAAAAAAAAATTAACAGCCTCATGAACTTTTCTTCCTTGGGCTAGTTATGAACCACCAATCCTTAGATAGGATTATAGCTAAGTTTATAGGTATAAGCCACCAGCACCCAGCTTCTTCATAGTTTTCTATACTAATGAGCACACCATCATTGATCATCACTTTACAGATATTTGGTGTTTCCAGTTTGGGGATGTAAGAATATTGTACCAATATTCCTATATTCTATTTGGTGTATATATGTGTACGTGTACATTTTTATTGCTGGATCATAAGCTATGTTAAGCTTTAGTGGGTAATGTCAACAATTTTTTTAAAGTTTAGGTTAATTTATACTTCCCTTCCACCTATACGGTTTGATCTATATATTCACCAACTACTGGTTAATGACATGAACTATTTTTATTAGCAAATATTGACAGTACAAGGGATCTTCCTTGTGATATCCATAGATACATATATAGCGTACTTTGAACAAGTTAATTTTCTATATTACATTTTCTTAACTACCTTCTTCACGCTCTCCTTTTCAATGTTTGGTGAGTTTCATTAGACCTATCATATTTGTCTCAGTGTGTTTGTTTATAAAATGTATTTTGATCTTCTCTACCTGCCTAAAACGATTTCTCTTCCTTGTTCCTCCACTGATCTCTTCAGTCCTTCTTTTAGACTCATGTCCTATTATCATTACTATCATAATAACTTTATGTCTATTTTCCAAATATGAGTGAAAACATAAGTAATTTTTCATTTTGCAAGTTGGCAAAATGAAGTAGCACAAACTGACCGTAATTCATACCTTTTCCTGGCTACTAATAAGTATCAACAAAATATCCTCCAAATTTTGTGAACACAAGTGATAGTAAATCACTATCTTTGAAGCAGCTGCTTCAAAGACATTTTTAAGGTTTTGAGTACATTTTACACAAATACAACCATTTTGAAATTCAATTTGAAAAGATTCTCAGATTTCTAAGAAATAATGTAAATCAATGATAATGTACATATATACGACGATAATGTATATTATGTATGTATGCATGTACGTGTCCATTTAGGTTGTGTGAGACAGAAATTTGACTTTTAGTAAAGCCCAAATTAGTCATTAGCTCTTGATCCTACTGTCTCTGCTCAGACTATAGGCACATGACACCACACCTGGCAAGGTTAACTTTTTTTTTTGGGTCCGGTCGTGGGGACTGAACTCTGGGCCTGGGCACTGTCCCTCAGCTCTTCACCTCAAGGCTAAGGCTCGCTCTACCACTTGAGCCACAGCGCCACTTCCGGCTTTTTTTTTCTGCTTATGTGGTGCTGAGGAATCGAACCCAGGGCCTCATGCATGCAAGGCAAGTGCTCTACCACTGAGCCACCTTCCCAGCCCAAGGTTAGTTTACTTCTATAGAACAGATGAACTAATTCACAGAATAAAATTGTTTAGACTGGAATACTTTCCATGTCAGGTCAATCTGCTGCAGTTAACATAAAAAAAGCTTCACTGCTGACACTTCAACACAGGGAAGAAATAAACTAAAACTAAACACTCAGATCTCCTAAAATGAATTAAGTTTGGGTCTATAGAGTCAGTAGAAAAAAGGAAAAGGATGTACAGAACATTTAGTTATTACCATCATGAATGACCCTGGGTTTAACAAGGAACATCATGTATGGGATAGCTTCTAACTTCAAGAGATAAGATAAAATAGCTACAAGAAATTCAAATCAGAACCATACAGATATCAAAGAAACAAATACACCTAATCATAAAAAGTTAATTAACTCAGTAAGCAGTCAATAACTGCACTTCCATTTGTAGTGGTACAAAGTTCTGACATGAATAACTAGGTTTAAAAAAAACCCTTCACTTTAGAATGAGCTTGTGACTTTAAATGAGCATCATTATTCCACAATACTGTGAAATTTGGGAAATTATGTAATCACTTAACCACAATTAAAAAAAAAAAACAAAAACCAAGTGGTAGAGCATGAGCCTTGAGCTGAATTGTTCAGGGACAGCTCCCAGGCCTAGAGCTCAAGCCCCACGACTGACAAAAAAAAAAAAAAAGATCTTTCATGCGATTGTTTCTAACATATTTGTAAGATTATGTCTTTGTTGCCTTGTATGTCCCTCCCCCATGGTATAACCCCTGCTTTCACTATATATGATGTTGGTATATGTGGAAGGGAAGGGAAAAAACAAATTGTTAAAACAGGAATACAGGAGGACCCATTGCAACAATGAGATGTACAAGTCGTTATGTCAAAAAACGAACTTTACAACTTTGTTGGGAGAGAAGGGGGGGGATGGCGGGGCGGGGGGGGCGGGGGAGAGGATAGGAAGGGGAAACAAAGCATGAGGCTACAATGCTTGATAAGAAATGTGCTCATTATCTTACCCATGTAATTGTAACCCCTCTGTACAGTATTTTCACAAAAAAAAAACAAAACTCTTCACTTATATATAAGTAATTATCAGATCAACACTCACCAACTCTTTTCTAAGTTGAATAAAAAACTGCTTGCACTTAAAAGAAATTTTTACAATCTTCAACCTGCCAAAAAGATAATTGAAATATTTAAGATATAGAAGGAAGATAAAAATATGAAGGAAGAAAATTTAAAACAATGATCTTTTATGTGTATATTGACTAGTATTTTATCATATATTCTACATACAGTATATTTTTGGTGCTGCACTGAAAATGAATTAAAATCTATGTGTTCAATGAGGAACATCTTTATCAAAGAATCTAATGTGAATTATTTCCCAACTGTGTACTTAGAAAAAAATTTCTATTTCAAAAACTTAGATATTCAAGAAATATAACAATCTCTTTAAAACTGCCATACCTAAAAAAACTTGAAAACTGAAGTTTTTGGCAAAGACCCTAAAAACATTTATCTGACTTTAAAAAGCACATTTTTCATGTTATATCTTTACATTGTCTTTTTTTTCTTATAACATTATGAGTTTTCAAGAATCATTAATATCAGCAGTATGATTCAAATTGACTTTTCTACTTACTATAACCAAATACATTTTCTTTTTTGGGGGGTGGTGGTGGGATTGGTTGTGGGGCCTGAACTTTGGGCACTGTCCCTCAGCTCTTTAGCTCAAGGCTAGTATTCTAAAACCTGAGCCAAAGTGCCACTCCCAGCTTTTTCTGCTTCTGTGGTGCAGAGGAACCAAACCCAGGGTCTCATGGCAAGTACTCTACCACTGAGCCACCTTCCCAGTACCAATCAAATACATTTTAAAATATATTTCTTGACCTCCTGGTAGTAAAAAGGGCAGAATTATTACTCTGCAAAACTTGTTTTAGGACTCTGTCCCAATTTTCTGAAGTACTTTTATTGTAATGTGATCTTATAGCCATGACCTTGGCTCTATCCAGTAAGAAGCTGTGAAAATTCTCAAACAATATATTTTTTTGACAAAGTAATCACATGACGAGGCAAATAAAATGTTTATTTAGAATGGGGGAAAGGATATGGTTGTTTTTTTAGGTATGAAATTTTATTTTACTCTTACATCCAGAGCTTTCATTGGACAAGAATATAATAACATGGGAGAATATGACAGTCTGTTGCCATATGAAAGAGGATATTACTTTCAGAAAGTGAAAAAAAGAAAAAGAATGGTTAAAATGAAAGATTGTACCAGGTGCCAGTGGTGCATGCCTGTAATGCTAACTACTCGGGAGGCTGAGATCTGAGGATTGATGTTTAAAGCCAGCCTGAGGAAGGAAAGTCCGTGAGACTCTTATGTCCAATAAACCACCAGAAAACTGGAAGTAGAACTGTGGCTCAAGTAGTAGAGCATTTGCCATGAGCTGAAGAGTTCAGGGGCAGCGCCCAGGCTCATAGTTCAAACTCCATGACCGACCAAAATAACACACACAAAAAAATAAGACTGTATTTATTGAAAGCGAGGAAGACAGATATCTCAAGTTTAAAAACCCTATGAAGAGCTACATATATTGTAGAAGTTATAAATTAATTTCTATCAAGAGCCATCAAACAAGCAACAAATAAAAAACTGCCTAGCAAACACAAGGCTCTAGGTTCAAACCACAAACTTATAAAAAACTAGTCATTTTATAATAACCAAAACACTATATATAGTTTAATTTTGAAAATACAGAAAATTTAACTATTATTATTTCAAGCCATGTCATCTTAACAGTACTGATTTCTGATGACATTTATATACAGTGTAAAGTGAAAGGTGAAATTGATTTCTGTGTGCCGTATCTATACTGATAGGAAGGGACTATTTCTTTGGTTGTTTTGTATGTCACTGAACATGCCACAATTTCAGTGACACAGGACATATTTAAAAGATGTGAGAATAAATACCAAATGACCTCTGATTTTATTAGCTTTACAGATATGTAACTGAGATATGCAATAGATTCATATGCAACTGAATTTACCAATTACAAGTAAACAAAGAGTTCAGTTGTAGATCCACTATCCACAACAATCATCACATCACCCCAAAAGGTTCCTTGATGCCCCTTATAAATTTATTTTTTTCTTTACTGTAACCAAATAAATTCAAATACATGTTTACTGAACTCTCAAGGTCTATTAATAAGACCATAGCCCTTGGGAGTTTGCTCATCTGTCTATTCTACAATTTCCTAGAAATATAAGTAAAAAGTAATGCAGTCTTTGGTGGCTGGCTTCTTATTCTTGGCATAATGAATTAAGGGTAGGATCATTCAGATGCTTTAGTATATCAATAGTTAAATCTTTTTAATGCTAAGCAGAATTCCATTCTGTGGATATAATCTGCTTATTTTTTCAGTTGGTAGACACTTGGATTTTAATTTTGGGTTATCATACAGACTGTAGCTATGAATATTATGGACAAATATGTATAAAAAAGTTAGGTTTCTTGAGTAAATAGGAACAGAATTGCTGGATTAAATGATACATTTGTTTTTAACCTTAAGTTCATGAAGTTGTTTGCACTGCTACCAGTAACATTTTTCTAATTATTTGCTTCCTAGTACTACTTGGTACTCTTATCTTTTTAACTGCTTTTCTACATAGTTGGTAAGAGGTAGAGCTCACTGCATTTCTAACTTGCATTTCACTGATGACTAAAAATCTTTTCATATACTTAACTGTCACACACACACACACACACACACACACACACACACATTTTTTTCTGCTTATGTGGTGCTGAGGAATCGAACCCAGGGCCTCGGGCATGCAATGCAAGCACTCTTCCACTGAGCCACCTTCCCAGCCCACATATATTTTTGATGGAAGTGTCTATTCAAACATATTACCTATTCATTTCAATAGGCTATTATTGTGGTATTAGAATTCTTTCTATATTTTTGACCTAAGTCCTTTATCAGATAAGATTTGTCTCTTGTTTTTACATTTTCAGTCCCTTTCACAAAATAAAGCTGGGAATAGGTAGTTCATGCCTGTAATCCTAGCTGGGATCTGAGGATCACAGTTCAAAGTCAGCCCAGGCATGAAAGTCTACAAGACTCTTATCTTTAATTAACCACTAACATCAGAACTGGAGCTGTGGCTAAAGTGGTAGAATATCACCAGCCTTCAGTAAACAACAACCACAACAACAAAAAACCCCTCAGGAACAGAGGTCAAGTCCTAGTACCAGCAAAATAAAATAAAATAAAATAAAATAAAAAGAATGGACAGAAATTCTTTAACAAAATCTACTTATCGGGGCTGGGAAGGTGGCTCAGTGGTAAAGTGCTTGGCTTGCATGCATGAGGCCCTGGGTTCGATTCTTCAGCACCACATAAGCAGAAAAAGCCAGAAGTGGAGCTGTGGCTCAAGTGGTGAGCACTAGCCTTGAGCTGAGGGACAGCGCCCAGGCCCAGAGTTCAGGCCCCACAAATGACAAAACAAAAACAAAAACAAAAAACAAAATCTACTTATCAATTACTTTTTTTCCCGGGTCCTAGAGCCAGTATTGAACTCAAGGCCTTGAGATCTTGCTTAGCTTTGTTTTTTTGTTCTTTTTTTTTTTTTTTTTGGTTAGTTGTGGGGCTTGAACTCTGGGCCTGGGCATTATCCCTCAGCTCTTCAGCTCAAGGCAAGCACTCTACCAAATGAGCCACAGTGCAACTTCCGGATTTCTGAGTGGTTTATTGGAGATAAGAGTCTTGTGGACTGTCCTGCCCAAGCTGGCTTTGAACCTCGATTCTCAGATCTCAGTCTCCTGAGTAGCTAGGATTACAGGCAAGCTACCATTGCCCAGATTGCTTAGCTTTGTTTTTGAGGTTTTTTTTTTTTAATGCCAGTACTGGGACTTGAACTCAGGGCCTATACATTGTCTGTTACCTTTTTTGCTTAAGGTTACTGCTCTACCACTTGGCCAACTGCTACACTTACTAGCCGTTTTTTTTTTTTCCTTTTGGTGGGCCCAGTAAATGGGAGAGTCTCATTGATTTTCTGGCTTTGAGCTGAGTTCCTTAGATCTCCTGAGTAGCTAAGACTACAAGTGTGAGCCACCAGTTTCTGGCTCTTGCTTAGCTGTTTTGCTCAAGGCTGGGACTCTGCCACTTGAGCCACATCTATACTTTCAGCTTTTTGCTGTCTAATTAGAGATAACAATCTCGTGTACTTTTCTACCTGGACTGGTTTCCAACCTCAACCATCAAATCTTTGCTTCATGAGTAAGTAGGATTACAGGCTTGAGCCATCAGTCCCCAGCCACATTTTACCAATTCTTTATGGTATTATTTGTGGTTTTAGTGACCTATCTAGAAAACTCATTTTTTTTTCTTTTTAAGAAAAATTTATCAATGTCCTAAAATATTCTAGTAGAAATCATATTTTCTTCTAAGGAGTTGTTAAGTGACTAACAACAGACACTCCAGATTAATGTAGTAGCTTTGCTGCAATTCATCTCCCCTAAGTCATTGTGTTTATTTACAAGAACAACCTACATTTCACGCTTATACCTCCCTACCCACAAACAAGACGTTAGATATACACATAATATGATCAAATTGATTTTCACAATTATCATGATATCTCTTAGAGGGAAGTGGAAGATACTTTCCTTTTCCCTTATTCTACATACATCACTGACAGTGGTAACTTACCCTGGACAGTCAGCATAAAGACAGTATGCCAGAGACAATAGAACAATGACCAAAAAAACCTTGAGTTTTAAAACTTTATGGAAGCCACCATGCTTTGCTTGCATCAATTTAAGCCTCTGTTAATACTGAGCATTTCTTAGAGTAGCCATGTTTATATTTCAGCTAATGAACTAGTATTCCAATTAATGTATTTAAATAAAGCATTATGCTTATGATACTTGATGGGATGAAAGACAAGAGTTAAACACTATAATTATAGTATATTCTAAGAGATGGTCTAAGAGAAAAATCCTAATTAGTATTTTTATTAAGTTATTTGGGATAGATTATTTTGCTATCTTCCCCTATCCAAGTATAAATTATAAACTACATCACAGAAGTAAACTGGTAATATTAAAATAGTTCAGTGGCTATTTTCTTAAACATAAATTATTGTCTTTGTTTTGGTGGTATTGGGACTTAAACTTGGGATCTTCCTAGGCTAGTGCTGTCACATAAGCCATGCTTTCAGCTAATATTAATTATTGTATTTGGTAAAATAGCAATAAAAGAAAAAGTATTGACAGAAGTTCTTACCATGGAAAAGTATTCATTCGTACCCTGTTCTTATATATCAGAATTCCTCCTGACATCACTCCAATCATAATTTCATTGTTACTTTGATCCTGTAATAAAAAATGCAAAGCAAATATAAAAATTATGATAAGCTTTTGAAACAGAATTAACTTTGTTAACACAATCTGACATTTTCAAAGACAATACAGAATTGCTTATAGTTATGAACACAACTAGAAATTTTTACTTGGTAAAAATAAAAGACAAATTTCAAACCAACTTAAATGTTGAATTATTTAATTACTTTAAACCAAAAATAATCTCACAATTTCTTGTAACTTATTACTAGGACTGAAGTGAAACTTGTAATAAAACAGTATTAGGACTGGGAAGGTGGCTCAGTGGCAGAGCGCTTGCCTTGCATGCATGAGGCTCTGGGTTCGATTCCTCAGCACCACATAAGCAAAATAGAAAAAAAAACGGAAGTGGCACTGTGGCTCAAGTGGTAGAGTGCTAGCCTTGAGCTGAAGAGCTGAGGGACAGCATCCAGGCCCAGAGTTCAGGCCCCACAACCAGATCAAAACAAAAACAAAAACAAAATAGTATTGACAATACAGTGAGAACTCTTAAAACTAACATAGTAATTAAAAACATCATAGAGAATAGAGAATGATTCGTAGAGTTTTAAAGACCTCATAAGAGAAAATTTAAATTGGGTCTTGATGACTTTCATACTAACTGACCACAATTCAAATTGAGAGAATGGAAGAATTAAAACATTTTCCTTAGATGCTAATTTTTATTTTTATTTTTGGTGCCAGTACTGAGTTTGAACTTAGGGACTGGGTGTTACTGCTTAGTTTGTTTGCTCAAGGGTAGTGTTCTACCACTTGAGCCACACCTTACTTCTGGCTTTTTTGCTGGTTAACTAGAGAAAACAGTTTCATAGACTTTCTTGCCTGGCCTGGCTTCAAATGTTAGTCCTCAAATCTCTGTCTTCTGGGTAACTAGGATTCCAGGTGTGAGCCACCAGCTTCCGGCAGATGAAAATTAATTTTGAAATAAGTCTTTTTTTAACCTCTTTACAGGAAATATTCTACAGGCAGTGTAATACAGCCCAATACAGCATGCATGATTTTATCTCTCATCATTTAGTTGTTCAGCCATAGAGCTAATTGATGAAAATATAAACAGGATTTTAAAATTATGATCCCCAAACAAATCCTTGGAAGTGGCACTGTGGCTCAAGTGGTAGAGCACTTGCCTTGAACTGAAGAGCTGAAGGAACACCACCCAAGCCCAAAGTTCAAGGCCCATGACCGACCAAAAAAACAGAAACAAAAAACCCCAAAACAAATCCTTTACATTATAATTTCAATAATTTCTACCTAAATAAAATCTTATCAGATAGACAGGGCAAGACATAATAAATGGTCAAATGTAATTATGTATTGTCTGGCTGCTTTTTCTACTTAGTAATAGCAAGCATTGCTATATACTATTACTATAATCTTTAAATTGTGTTCCGAAGGATATCAATTAGAAGTTGGGATCAAGATGGCAGATAAAGCATGTAAGATAGAAGGTTTAAATGAATGCTCTAAATTACACTTTGCCCCAAATATCATAAAACATCAGAAAAATCATGAAAAATCTGTAATAGTTGAAAACAATAATTAATGGATCAGATATATTGAACAATCCTTAGAGTGATACCCAGAGTAGATAGAAAACTTAAGAATAAAAATTGTAATTGTTCTGTTGTTCCTTTCCTTCTCCATTATTAACAATGGAAGAACAGGAACAACATTTCAAGTAAACTAAGAATTTCTTTTAGATTTATGATTCCTAGTATACTTGGAATGCTGTTTTTCCTTTCCCATGTGTTTCTCCTCCACTATTCTGAGAGTTCCATAGGAGCAGGGAATATATGATGCTTTGTTCACTAAGTAATCTTGAATGCAAATAAGGAGGAAGGCACAGAATAGTTAACACAACGAAAATGCTATAAGATTCATTTCACTTTTGAATTTTGAGATCTGTAATTTGGTTCTATTTGAAGGTAGACAAAACATCTTACTGTGTTTGCCAAAACAGAATTATTTCAATACATTTTTGGTTGAAACAAGTCACAATTATTCCATTTATTACTTAATCCTTTCAAGAAATTTAAAATTTTTTCAGTAAAGAGGGTTTACCTAGGATGTATTAAATCCTGAGTTCAGTCCCTAGCAAAACACACACACACACACACACACACACTTATTAAAAAAATACTGAATAATGTAGGCTCTTAAAGGAAGTTTTCTTCACTTACCCTTGCATAGTGGAATTCAACTCCATAGAGTTCTAAGGTACGTGCTGTATTTAGGTAATTAAATTCTGCTTCTGCAGGAGATGAGCCTCTATAAAGAATTATTAGGTTAAAAATCAGATTCATTTTTAAGTATGGCCAAATTAAAAAACAGCTGTGCAGGGAAATGAGAAGTCTAATTAAATCTTTTACAAAATACCATTCATTTATTCTCTTGGTTTTATATGGTAACATCTAACAAGAACTACATTTAAATCTATGTTTTTAAACATGCAGATTTTAAGGCAACCTCTAAGATAGTGCTTTTCAGAGTTCAGTATATAGACAGGGGTTGATTCATAAGTACAGAAATGCTAGAGATTTTTATAGCAATCGGCCAGGATAATTTTATGTCAGTTGAATTTAATAGTGAAAAAACATGACTTGTGTTTTTTATTTTTGCTTCATTTCTCCATTTTGTTTCACAAGCAATTAATTTTTATTATATAGTTCAAAATATAAATAACACAATGACTTTAACTGCTTTGTTAAATGGTAACTTCTTTGCACAACTACTTAGGGATAAAAAAATAAATATCTTAAGAAAACTATGTCTGATGACTTATGAATATAAGTAAAACTATTGTTCTAACTGTAGCCTTTAAAAACAGATTTACTTGATTTATCTAATGTAACTAACAACTCTACTTATCTGATGCAATCAAACCACCTTAGACCACAAGGTAAAACTATAAAAGTAAAGATATCAACCTTTTATTCAATGATACTTGAAAAGGGCACCAACAATTTGCCACAAAAGCAGATACAATGAACTGTTCTACAAAAATTTTTGTTTAATATATAAGATGGGGAATTATGTGTTTAAAATTGTAGAAATAATTAAAAACATTTTTTTTGGTCGGTTGTGGGGTTGAACTCTGGTCCTAGATGCTGTCCCGCAGCTCTTCAGCTCAAAGTGAGCACTCTACCATTTGAGCCACAGTTCCACTTCCGGTTTTCTGATGGTTTATTGCAGGTGAGTCTCATGGACTTTTCCTGCCCAAGCTGGCTTTGAACCACGATCCTCATATCGCAACATCTTGAGTAGCTAGGTTTACAAGCGTGAGCCACCGGAGCCCAGCAAACTTACTGGTATATGTTTTTAGCGGGGCACTGGTGGCTCATGCCTGTAATCCTAGCTACTCAGAAGGCTGAGAGTGAGGATTGAGGTTCAAAGCCAGCTGGGGCAGGAAAAGTCTGTGAGACCCTCATCTCCAATAAACCACCAGAAAACCGGAAGTGGTACTGTGGCTCAAATGGTAGAGCACTCACCTTGAGCTAAAGAGCTGTGGGACAGCGCCCAGGCCCAGAGTTCAAGCCCCACAACAGACAAAAAAAAAAAAAGAAGAAGAAGAAGAAGAAGATTACCAAGTAAAAAGAAAACAAAATAAATCCTTACATATGTTGTTGATGCAATTTTGCAACTTCCTTTTCAAAATCTTGAGGTTGATTAGGAATGAAAGAATACTCTGAGAGGTAGCCTGGCAAATTTTCTGATTGATTGTAGTCTCCAAGTTCAGCTAATAATAAACAGAAAATATTCACACTTCAATTTCAATGTATTTGTGGAAGTAACATATTAATTAAAATTTTTTTTGATGATACAAAGTTTGAACTCAGAGCCTCATGCTTGCTAGCCAGGCACTTTACCACTGGAGCCACGCTATCAGTCCTTTTTGGAGTTGGGTTTTGTTTTTTTGGGGTCCGGTCATGGGGCCTGAACTCTGGGCCTGGGCGCTGTCCCTCAGCTCTTCAGCTCAAAGATAGCGCTCTACCACTTGAGCCACAGTGCCACTTCCGGCTTTTTTCTTTTTGCTTATGTGGTGCTGAGGAATTGAACCCAGGGCCTCGAGCATGCAAGGCAAGTGCTCTACCACTGAGCCACCTTCCCAGCCCATAGTTGGGTATTTTCTGAGATAGGATCTTATTTTATGCCTGGGCTGGCCTGGGACTGCAATCCTTCTATTTGTGCTTCCTGTGTGTAGCTAGGATGACAGGCATTCACCACTGGGCTCAGCTAGTGTACAAATGGAGATGGACTCTGTTAATTTTTAGCTTGAGTTGGCTTTGATCCACAGTCTCTTGATCTATGCCACACAAGTAACAAAGATTACAGAGCTTGAGCCACTAAACTTGGCAATTTATATTTCTAATGTAACTAAGCAAGTTGCAGTAATTAATTTAAGATTTTTCTAGGTCTCCAGTAATTTTAGAAAAAATTTGTTTCAAGAATCAAAGTAACTGCTAATTGGAAATCCATTTCCTCTGTAGTTTCTATTTTCTATACAGTAACATGTCTAAAGAGCTTCCACATTAAAGGCAGTCCAAAAAGGCTATAACACTGCATGCTATTGAACTTAAAAAAGTAGGTGGATACTTACATTGAATAGCATATGAAGCTAAAAGGGCAGCAGTATTGTAAGGACAAGGCAATCTAACAAAACAAAACAAAATACATAATCTATAGTTAAACTAGTAACTTTAAAATTGCTATTATTTATGTTATTCACACTTAAGTTTCAATGTGACTTGTTTATGCAAAAACTTCTTATTTATAATAAATCAACATTCTGACATGAAAGGTAGCCACTTTCAATTTCTCAGGAATGCTTAGAAACACTAGTCAGTAATTATTTTACAGTAGGGTAAAAGAACTAGTTTCAGAATAAACTTTTTAAGTGGCTTTTCTTATGGAAATCATTTCTAAGTGTGAGTATGTGGTAAGCTAGCTTTCTCAGACGGTAAATGTAATACAACTATATTCCAAATATACTAAACCAGTTTATACAGTAAACATGAGAATCACCTGTATATATCAACTGTGCTCAAATGAAGTATTTTTTTTCAAAAAGGTCTTGTAATCATCTCTTCCTATATATAGCATTGCTTTCTACTTAAGTTGCATAACTTTTTAGATGACTGTATGTGACTCAGTTTTAACTTTTAAGAAATGAATTACTCTTAACTATTAAGAAATCAACTCATCTGATAAAAAGAATTTATACAAGTACTCATTTTAATAGATTATTTGTTTTCAATGATTATGAATTACTTCAATAATACAGAATTAAAATACTTATAAAGTATTATATATAAAAAAATTAAAAATAGCCTACCTTCCAGTAAGAATGTCTTGTTTAATTTGCAAAAAATACTGGTACCTTAAAAAAAAAAAGCATTTACTAAAATTATAACAGTATCAATTCTAAAAATTCTATACTTACACTAACCAATAAAATTAATTATTTAAGTATTTGTTTTTATATATTTTATGTTTTATATATTATAAAAGTATAATTTTACATTAGTATATGTTTTAATAAACTTTCATAAGTTTATGAATACAAATCTGTAAAATTCTTTGGTATATAACATTTTGTACTTTGAATTATTTTTATTATGAAACCATTCAAGATTTCTTAACTACATGATCAAGGGAGATTAAAATGTTTCCAATTGACAGTTACATTTGAATAAATATACGGTACTTGATGTTATTTTGCAGTTACTTAGGATGGTAATAATACTTTTAAGTTCTAAAGTAATAGAAAAGCTTCTATTTAACTCTTCTCCCAATATATCACACAATATCTAGAAAATTATAGTATAAAATACAATGAGAATTTATTTAAAAAAAATAGAAAAACAACAAAACCCAATCCCCCAAAATACAAGGGAGGGAGGGAGAGAGAGAAACAAAGAAATATTCTGAGGACTGGTATATATAAGAAAGTAGAAAACTAGAGCATCAGACACATGAGAAAGCTGATAGCAACATTAACAGAAACCAATGAAAAGAAAATCATTCTTTCTGTTAAAATAGGAACTCAGCTGTCAAGACAGGCTTATGTGAGATCATTTTACGAAGAAAAGCTACTGTTCATTTCCAGTTAAGAACCCACACAATGACCAGAAAAATAACCTAAATTCCTTTTCCTAATATTGCTTTATTATTATTAAAATTGTTAAGTAACCAGTTTTTTAAAAAAAAAGAAATCAAAGCAGCCTATGACAAGTATACAGAGATTGCTTACTAGATGGTACTACCTTAATGTCTCAGCTAGTATATCCATTCATTATCAATTCCTGGGCAAAGTAACCTGTGCTAACACACTGGCAGAAGAACAAATTTTGTGGTAGCTTACAGTTTTTTTCTATTTCACCCAACTCAAAAGAAAATTACTTTATGAGTAAAAATTCATTAAAAACTCTAGCTGATCATTAACTAGCTTTATGACATTATTCAAACTACTGAAGAATGTAATTTAGATTTTTAAAGAAACAGATTTCCTTACCATAACTAAGCAAAAAACAAAAAAAAACCCTGCAACAAATACCTTGATTTTATATATTGGCAATGCACACTAATTCCCTGTGAGGCTTAGTGCATACTATTATAAATATTAACTAATTTATGACAGTATATTTTTTAAATCAGGCTTACTTCTTTTTTTTTTTTTTTTGGTCGGTCGTGGGGCTTGAACTCTGGGCTTGGGTGCTGTCCCTGACTGAGCTCTTCAGCTCAAGGGGAACACTCTAAACCATTTGAGACACAGCACCACTTCTGGTTTTCTGGTGGTTCATGGGAGATAAAAGTCTCATGGACTTTCGTTCCCAGGCTGGCTTGGAACTGCAATCCTCAAATCTCAGCTTCCTGTCTAGTTATGATTACAGGCATGAGCCACTGGTGCCCGGTTAGGCTTATTTCATTTTTTATGATTAAAAATTAAAAATTATTATGTAACTCAATGTTAGAGTCATGTTTAGCATGCCCAAGGCCTTTGTTCTGGTTTCAATCCCTAGCACCACAATAAAAGGAACAGTCCACAAAAAAAGAAAGTCCTTAGTGAAGAAATAATCTTATATTTAAAGTGTCTGTACATGCCCTTGATATAATATTATAAATCCTACACAAATAAACACATACTAATGAATTTCACTAACTTACTCATTTAGCCAACTAGAAACTAGTTAGTCCTAGGCTAACCTAGCCTGTGATTTTGGTCTATTAAAATGTGTCTGAGTCTTATAGAAAGGAAATAGTATTACTTGCTAGAAATTGGAAAAATTCAATTCTAATAACAGACACCTGGGGAGCTTAATCCTGAGTTTTCCCATTACTCAAAAGTAATACCCAGCCCTCTCCAACAAATACACAGAAAAAGACTCCCAATAACTTCAACCTAATTTTTCTTAGTGATTTAATATGGAAAACTACAAATAACTGAAAAATAACATCTTAGGCTAATTACATAGCTTTAATTTGCTGTTTTGTTCTTCTACTCCAAAACACTGACCTATTCTTACGTCTGAGAATTTTATAGAAGGTAAAGTATACTAATTCTTAATATTCTTTTTTAATAAAACAAATTACTAATTCTTTCAAACAATGCACATAGTTGTCTTTTCAGTTGTTTTAATGACAATCCTAACACTGTTAGCATTCTTCTTTTCTTGTCTTTTTTTTTTTTGGGTCCGGTCGTGGGGCCTGAACTCTGGGCCTGGGAGCTGTCCCTCAGCTCTTCAGCTCAAGGCTAGCACTCTACTACTTGAGCCACAGCACCACTTTTTTTTTTTTTTTCCTGCTTATGTGGTGCTGAGGAATTGAACCCAGGGCCTCAAGCATGCAAGGCAAGCGCTCTACCACTGAGCCACCTTCCTAGCCCCAGCATTTTTCTTTTTAACCCTAAACATTTCACTAATATTCAAGAACACTATCAAAACACTCATCTACATCGTTTCTGTGTACTTTTTCCAAATTTAAAGAGACAACAAAATTAGATAGGAACATAAAATCAGACTTCAACGGGCAGTAAAGTGGTCAGGTAAAGACAGAATATGCTAGTAAATGCCCTGAAACATCCTTTATAAAGTCCTGTATGTTCTCTTTGGAAGCAAAGATTAAAAACAAATAAGAAAAAATTAAAAGGTACCTACTGATCACTATTCTTGTACATAATTTATATGCTGTAGAAAGCATATATTCTCAATAAAAAGAAAAAACAATTAAAATAAGCATTTACAATAAAAAAAATTGAAAATTCTCACTTATGCATCTTGCCTTGGAAAAGTTTCAGTGTCATCTAATTATCTCAATTAATTATAGCAGTGCTTTTTGACCACTGTTCACAAGTAGAAAAAAAAATTAACATTTCTATGGCTCAGGAGGCTGCCTTTGGCCAGATGGGGCAAATATTGAGGTTCTAAAGCCCAGAAAGTCTCCCAGGTACTACAAAAGAGGAAGAAACAGTTGAATTTAAATTTACTATTAGTGTTTTGACAATGTGTTGCAGAGAAACATGCTCCAAAAACCCACCTTGTATACTCTTCTTGTAACTTGTTGGGGTCACTTACAAAAAATTTGACTCTAAAGTTCAAACTGTAAGGAGATCCTCCTAAAATTAATAAAAGTAGTTCTAATTAATTAGTTTATATTAGTCCTTTGTATTTAAAAGGCACATTTTAAAAACATCAAATAAATATGTATGCTCACTCTTTAGCTGCTTCCTTATTGGTTTGTTTGGATCCAGCCACTTCTGAAAAATAAAGACAGATTTCTATTTTCCCTGAATAACTAACATATCAGTTCTTATAAATCTGCTTCAAAGATTAGCACCAAAAACTGTATTTTGGAAACATCCTAGGTAGAAAGAAAACCCATTAAATTATAGACAATGATGTTCATGTCAATTATAACAAATTATGTGAGAACTTACTGAATGTATTTGTACCAGCTTTAAGTATTTTTTTTATTTCTCATCAGTTATACAATGTGTACTAACCTCTACTTCAAAAGTAATAAGTAATTTCTGTAAATGTATTTTATCTGGCAAGTTTTACAAATTCTCTTCACTTTTCATTAAATAAAATGTTGAGCTTTACACACTCATGCAGACAAAATTTTAACCACAGAACTTGACAATTTACTTTTCAAGAAATTTTTACAATTTCTACCCTATTCCTTAAAATTAAGTCCCTGGGATAATGTTTAGTTTGGGAGGTGAAGGAAAGGGCTGTTTGTGTGTGAGGATTTTAGGCAATCTCAGTACTTCTGAATGTCCATTAAGGCCTATTTCCAAAAAATTAAAACTGAATTTAGAAAATATTTCAATTATCAACATATTTCAGTTTAAATTAAAAAAACAAATGAGCTACTAAATGTAGTATTTTCAAAATACTATATAGATGTGTATGTGTCACTGCTTATAAATCTAACTCCTACTCACCCACCCATATTTGAGTCCATACAAAGTAAATTATATATATATATGAGTGGGGTAGGGGTGGCAGTGCTGAGATCAAACTAGAGAGAGCCTAATGCATACTAGCCAAGTGCTCTACACCCCTAAGTCCCATTATATTTTACTGACTCGTCTCTATTATCTGCAACATCTAACACATCAAACACACCAATTCTACCTTTATACATATCCAGAATTTACCAGTTTTTCTCAATCTTTCTACTGGTCTAGGCTCTGGCCATAGATTGTTTTCTGTTCTCTCAATTTCTTTTCTAAGTAATCTCTTCATCTCCATCCAGAAGCTTAAGTGTGGTCTTTGAAAACATAAACTTGATACCACTATTTTGTTTAAAACCTTACAATTTCTCTGTATTGAGGTACAAAGGCTTGCCTTAAATGATCTCTTCTACCTCAAATTCCTAAGTTTTTTTTTTCAAATTCCTTAGTTTTAGCTATGTTGCTCCACAAAAATGGAGCATTGCTATAACATTCATAGTAAAAACATACTATTAATTAAAAAACAAAAAACTTAAAGCCCTACACATCAGGAAGAAAAAAGACCTTTACACAATGGATAAAAATCAAAGTTCAAAGCTAAAGGAATTTAAGTAGTGTTTAAATAAATAACAAAAAAAATATGTCTACCACCCTCCCTTCCTATCTTTTTTTTTTTTTTGTCAGTCATGGGGCTTGAACTCTGGCCCTGGGTGCTGTCCCTCAGCTCTTCAGCTCTAGGAAAGTGCTCTACCATTTGGGCCACAGTGTTCCACTTCTGGTTTTCTGGTGGTTTATTGGAGATAAGAGTCTCATGGATTTTCCTGCCCGGGCTGGCTTTGAACCACGATCCTCAGATCTCAGCCTCCTGAGTAGCTAGAATTACAGGCGTGAGCCACCAGCACCCCAGCTCCTTTCCTATGTTTTAGACATTACATACTTTCCTAGATCATTAGCTTTCAATAGTAAATTGGTAAAGAGCAAAATTTTTTTAAATCATATACCACAACACAATATGAGAAAAACAGGTACTTTTATTTGCAGCTTGAAAAAAAGAGTGAAAACGGTATCTTTTCAATGGTGGACAACTTAGTAATATTCAACAATATGTAAAATGCTATTTCCACAGACCTAGCATTATTTTTATATGACATTTTTCATTTAGATGTATTTTACATATCATAAATTCACTACTGTCAGGTGTACTTTTCTGTTATTTATCATGTTGTTACAACTGCCGCCATTCTCCAACTCAAGAATATTACTTATAAACTCCCAAATAAGTCTTATATCTATTATGCTCCTCCTCAGAGTCCTCCATAATTAGAAAGCAACTTTCTGTCTGTATAGATTTACTTATTTGGGACATTTAATATAAATAGGTGGTCTTTTTGTTTCTTCTGTCACCCCATATGTTCTCAAAGTTCACTCAAGTTAAGGTAGGTAACAACTCATTCTTTAAAAAAAATTCCTATTATGAATATCTGTGAAAATTATTTTTTCTATTGTGAACAAGTTTTTCTTCTATCCATGTTTTCAACTCTTTTGGGTGCATGTCAAGTTCATTTCACTGTTTGAAGAATTTCCAAAATTATTTCTACAATGTCCTTATTCCATAGTCCCTCCATTAATATGTAAGAGCTGTAATTTCTTTTTTTTTTTTTTTTGGTCGGTCCTGGGGCTTGAACTCTGGACCTGGGCGCTGTCCCTCAGCTCTTCAGCTCAAGGCGAGTGCTCTACCACTTGAGCTACAGCGCCACTTCTGGTTTTCTGGTGGTTTATTGGAGATAGGAGTCTCACGGTCTCTCCTGCCTGGGCTGGCTTTGAATTGCAATCCTCAGATCTCAACCTCCTGAGTAGCTAGGATTACAGGCGTGAGCCACCAGCGCCTGGCTTCTTTTTTTTTTTTTTTTTTTTTAACAGTTCTAATTTCTTTACAACTCATCAATATGATTTTCTATTTTTTTTGGTGCCAGTCCTGGGGCTTAAAGTCTTGGAATTTCTCACTAGAACTCGTTCACTGCTTCATGAAAGCAAGCATTAAAATTTCCATCTTTGTTTGTTCTTTTGTATGTGGACACTTAGATTATATAATCACCAATGGTCAGATTATACTTCTGTCAAGAACTGTTGTACCAACTGGATTATTGTGCTGTCTCCTAGAAAAGACTGTCTATGATGTAAAATATATGAATTTAAAGTGTATTTTGCCAGGAAATACTAATATATTAACATTAATAAGTGATATTACTTCACCATTAACTATGAATTCATGTAGGAATTTCTACTTCACAAGATGTTTCTACTCTTCTCAAAATGAATTTCTAAACTCTAGTTTACTGAGTGAATATTATATAATACTATTTCATATGGACAGTTAATTCTTGTATTTGTCAAAATGTAGTGATCAAACACCCTATGGGGCCTCAATTTCTAGAAAAGTTCCATCTGAAAAGATTATGAACTTGTCTGATGTAACCTGGTATTTATTATGTTACTATGCAAAAGCATTAGTTTTCTGTAATATCTATGCTATCCTGATTAGTGAGCTTTTTAAAAAAACTGTAACAATATTTTAATTTCCAAAACTGTTCACTGTTTCTTTGCATCAATGCAATATCATTTATAATCATGCCAGTGAAAACTAGTCCTTTTTGGTTGTATACTAGTATTTACTGAGTACTTTGCTAATGTTCCAAACCCCCTTCTATGTAGTTTACATGTAAAAGTTACTTTGTTTCATTATTATGTGGTACTGCTTAAAACCAGTACCTTGTGATTGCTAAGCAGGTGCTCTATCATGTGAGCCATGCTTCCAGTCCTCTTCTCATTATTAATGCCAAGATTGGATTTCTACCTTACTAGGCTGCTCTCTCCTCAATGTAAAATACTTACAATGCTTACTGCTTTCCACAGATCAATAGGTGGAATATTAGACTGACCATGCTTGCTGCTTCTGTATCAGTATATCTCCCAAACATCACCATCAGTCTCAACAAGTTTTTCCCCTGGTAAGCACTGAATATGGCAAAACTTGGGAACCACTCTATCACTACATTTTTCAGTATCTCAATATTATGTAAAAAGTGAGGATGTACTTACAGTTAATACATCTAATTTGGATCATGAAAATACTTAGAACATTGTGACAGTTTGTCATCTAAGAAACATTTATATCTTCATATTTTATACTCCCCATCCTCACTGGCATTTGTTGTTTGCTTTTTTGGTGGCTGCCATTTGGACTGGGGTTAAGATAAGACTCAGAGTAGTTTTTACTGAAGTTTCCTTTTGCTAAAGATACGAACATTTCTTCATGTATCTATTAGTCATCTGTATTTTTCCTTCTAAGAACTGTTCAGTTCACTTACCAATTTACTAATTGGATTATTTGTTCTCTGTTTAATTTTTTGAGCTTTTTTATATTTTGGATATTAATCCATTCTATGAGTCACTTTCTGGTTCTGGTAGTTAGTTAAATTAACATAGTCCATTTGTCAATTCTCACTCCCATCCTCTGGGCATCTGGAGTGCTAAAAAAAAACATACTTGTATCTGTAACTTCCAGGGTTTTCCCTACATTTCCTGCAGTAGATTTAGTTTCGTCTTACTTTGAGCTCTTTGATCCAATTGAAGTTCATTTTTTAATACAAAGAGAGGTACAGATCCAGTTTCAGTCTACTGCAAGTAGACAACCTGTTTTCCCTGCACCATTTATTGAAGCTGTCCTTTCTCTGTTGCATGAATGCAATGTTTGATTCAAGAATTCCATTCATTTACATTTAAATGACCGATTGGGTAGTATATTCTTTGTATAACAGGGTTTTGTTTTGTTTTTGTCTGTCATTTCCTCTATTACTTTGTGTTTGGTTTTTTTTGTTTTTTTTTTTTGGGGGGGTTCGGTCGTGGGCCTGAACTCTGGGCCTGGGCGCTGTCCCTCAGCTCTTCAGCTCAAGGCTAGCGCTCTACCACTTGAGCCACAGCGCCACCTGGCTTTTTTCTTTTTTGCTTATGTGGTGCTGGGGAATTGAACCCAGGGGCTCATGCATTCAAGGCAAGTGCTCTACCACTGAGCCACCTTCCCAGCCCTACTTTGTGTTTGTTTAGTGGTAATTTTTTTCCTTTTGTATATAGTCTGTAGCAATTATCTTTCTTTTTTTTTTTTTTTTTTTTTGGGTCCAGTCGTGGGGCCTGAACTCTGGGCCTGGGCGCTGTCCCTCAGCTCTTCAGCTCAAGGCTAGTGCTCTACCACCTGAGCCACAGCACTACTTCTGGATTTTTTTTTCTTTTTGCTTATGTGG